TAATGATATATTAAGTTGTGAATAAAGTTACTGGCTATGATGTTATGAAGAATATTCAGTTGAAAATTACTCTGAAAATCCATACCAATTTTTGTTTTCTGTTATCTATCTCCTGGTAATTTTCCATGAGTTTTGGTAGTAATGATTGCTGAGAAAAAGCCAATTCTGAGACATTCTGTCTAAAAGCATTTCATTACCCTTGATAAAACCCACAATCACGGTAATACTCGTACTTAAGTTTATGACATGTTTTTATGTACTGCAGCAGGGGAATTATAAATTTTCTAGTGGATTAATTTTTAAAATTATACTCTGACTGTCAATTGGAAAGTACATAATTATTTTTAGAACACAGTAATGAGAGACAGAAAATACATTACAGACATGAACTTCTTAAGTGGGTCTCACTTGAATGTTTTATTGTATAAAGAACAGACTCTTTGCCGGTGGAGTTTCAGTTTTAAAGCAAACTGATTTAAGTTATTAAAAAAGAACATAAGTCCTGAAATGTGATTCTACTTTATTAAAATATATTCAACCATTAAACAATTTTTCTTTAAGTACCACACATCTTATTTACAATGTTCCACCAGACTGCCGAAGTGCCAACCAACACACAGAACACATACTTTACAGGACATAGAGGATCTTGGAGAATGTTGGGAAAACAACATACTGAAGCCATTTAGACTATATTCTGTAATGCTACATTATTTAGAAAGGAAGTAATTTACCAGTTTCAAATGCACCTTTAACATTATCACCAGAAACTGTCAGAACCCATACACAATTCATCTAACATTTAAATTTACCATGTTTTTCCAGTTTATATGAAGACTACAGTATGTTTCTTGAAGTATATACACAAAAGCCTCCCTCCTTACATAATACTGTCAGCACCAGGACTGGGTATGGTTGTGGCTAAGAAAATGTGATTAATTTTGTACACACAGTGGTCATTTTCTGTCAAACTGGCCAACTGACTCAAACCATTTTTGAGCTGTAACATGAAGGAGTCTGATGAAAACATTCTGCTAAAATTCACAATATGCATAAAAAACTTACAGAAACAAAGTAATTAAAGTAAAAAAAATTAACTACCTAGTAGTCTAATTAATCAGGAAAGGGTGAATAAAAGTTTGAGGGTAGCATACTTCAGCTTTGATTGAGCTGATGCTGTACTTTACATTCTTCAGAAAATCACCACCATGGACAACATTATGTAAAATAAATAGGCATCGTTTAAAACATATATTTATGGAACAAGAATATGACATGCAAAATCACATATTTTTACTGATCAGGAATTTCAAAAAAGAAATTATTAACTTCTCCATGCTTGCCTTTCCCTTGTCCTGGCTCTGAATAAGGTACAGCCTAAACATTTTAGCACCCACAAAGAAAGCATTAATAATGAGGAATATTGTAATAACATGCATATATCTCAATGACCATCTTAATATTATAAGGATGTTAGTAATGTTTGTATATGTGGCTTGTAAATTACAGTGACACATTTTTGGCTTGGTAGCAGACTGAAGTAAATTATATTGCCCTGAAGCACCTTGAACAACTTGTAGGTACAGGAAATTTATACTGCCTCTTCACTTAAAATTTTCTAACAGACACAAATAATTTTTATAATATCAGACATATTTCTCAATATTGTCCAACGCGGAGGACATGCTGTCATGATAATAAATATTTCACTTCATGTTGAAATCCTAGGGCCTGATATGAATTAAGAAGTACTGCTAACTTTGTCCAAGAAAATCTGTTTGCAGACAGAGCAAGAGGTTGCAGAGGATGAACATGACTGCTTGCAAATTGAGTAATGCAACGCCTGGTTGATGGCCACACCATAGCTCAAGTGGCTAGCTGCTGGCTTCCCACTGCGGTGGCCTGGGTTCGATCCCGGGGTCTGGTCAAGTGGGATTTGTGGTGGACAAAGTGGCGCTGGGGCAGGTTTCCTCCAAGTTCTTCAGTTTCCCCTGCCAATCTTCATTCCACCAATTGCTCTACAATCACCCTCACCTATCATATGGGGCTGGTACAATAGGCCAGAAGTGGCTGCAGTACAAAGGACTTAGTCCCACAACACTAGCAATAAAAAAAATGTCTGGTTGAAGACTGAATATGAAAACATACACTTGGTAACTGAGTCGGGATACATCTGCTTACAGACTGGGTAAAGAAACGTCTGGCTGCAGAATGAGCAAGGAAACATCTAGTTGCATACCAAGTAAGGAAACATCTGGCTGCATACTGAGTAAGGAAACAGTCTGGTTGCAGGCCAAGTAAATAAACATGTTGTTGCAGGCTTATGAAGGAAACATCTGCTTGCAGGCTGTGTACAGAAATATCTGGTTGCAGACTTAGTAAGAAAATGTCTGCTTTCAAGCTGAATAAAGAAATATCTGCTTGCAGATTGAGTATTGAAATATTTTTTCTGGAGCCACTGTTCTTGGCACTTGTTATACTTTCAATAAATTTAGTGGTATCTTTATATAAACTAGTTCCCTGTAAGTTAAATTTGGTTCAATATAGTTTCATCTTAGACTTATCTGAACCATGGCTGCATTAATACATACCACAATTAACACGTCTTAATTTTATGTGCTGAAAACAAACAATAATCTGGGTATGTATTTAACTTATTATTTTGAGATTTCAGGGTCTAAAATCTGACAAATCATATAAATAACGTTCATTACATATCTTCATTAAAGTAACACATATCAGTTAGAACCTTGAAGTAAGTAGGCAGTCATCAGAACACATAACAAATTTACGTGACAAAAGAGACACTGGGGTTTCCTTTAGAAATGTGGAACATAATGTGTTAATACAGCTTGAAATGAACTTTGAATACCAAGCCAAAAATGTTATATCTGCAGAATGATCCAACCAAACTATCTGTAAATAATGTAGTTAAGTGGAAAGTTGTTATACAGACATGTTAATTTTGTATTATATTATTATCCTATAAATTTATTAGAATGTAGATTAACATTCTTTTCTTTCCTCTCATATTATTCCTTTTTTCTTTTGTGTGTTATTATTAACCTATCAGAGCAGAAATCAATAACTGCCATTATTCACTGTCTAGTTTTTGGTTTTACTGGCTACTGTTATAATCATTCAACTCATGTGCAGTTTTGCTGGGGAGAATAATGTTAAATTTTTTAATTAAAATAGTTCTGATCATAAAATTACTAAGAATTATCCTGGCACTGTTGATCTTGAATGTATTACCTGTCTCTATTTACACAAAAGCCCTCCACTGGGACCTACCCTGAGTCACCTTCTAGAATAATTACCACCTTAATAGCAAATTACATAAGTTGCTGACAGTGCCATTAAATAAACCATAAATAAATATATGTATATATGTATAAACAATATTTGGTTGAATCATCTGCTAAGTGTTCATTCATTTTTCAAGTGTGAATATTGGTACTCATATTACATGTGTATCTTTATGTGTGTGAATGTGTGTCTGTAATTGCTTGAGTGTGTGCTTTGTGTAAGTGTACACACATGTATACACACAAACACAAAACACAAAAGCATAAGCAAAATTCTATAGAATCTCCAGGAGAAAACTGAGCAGAGAAAGGCTGCAAATTCCACCATCTAAAATGACTTCTGATTATGAATGCTAACATTGGTGGATGGCCTATGTGGTGTAAAATATACTGCATAATCCAACTGCTGTCAATCTTAAATAAAGGATGTACTTTTTTTGTAAATCAATGCACAGATAAGATCCCTTCTTGTACTACAGGAGGTGCTTGGTTCAAATCTTGACTCAGACACCAGCTATTCTGACTGAGGTTTTTGTGGGTTTCCTCTGTCTTTGCAGGAAAATGTTGGGAGAGTGCATAAACTACGCCTTGACCACTTCTTTCTAAATACTTTCTATTCTTCAATCAGCTTATTATCCAACACTATACAGTCTCAATACTGACAGCATCATTAAAAAACCAACTAAAATTTACTGTACCAGCTTTAGGAAGCTATGTTAGGTAGACCATATGAGTTAAGTACTTTTAAAGGTACTTAACAGGTGATACATGATTGTTTTAAATGCATAAACAGCTTTTAAATCTGGAACAAATAAATATGTAGATATTCAAGGGACAAAATTTGTTACTGAGGATATTATGCTGGAACAGTAATAACTGCACACTTAAATCAAGAGAAACATTAACACCAAAAAATAATAAATGAAAATTTAACTGTATTAAAACACCAACTACGTTGTATAATATAATCTGTCTAAACTGAAAGGACATATGGATTACTGACACTTAAAATAGACCTTTCAGTGATCATTAATATTTGTTTGTACTTCTTTGTAGTGTTATCTGGGGATATTTCCAAGAATCACAATTTAAGAGCATTACTGACAGCAGTATGGACATTAAAGCTCTTCAAGTTATTTAATTACCTGCAGAAAAAGTGGGCACTAAAATCTTTTCAGGATGCCAGCTGCTTCAAATCTGGGTCAGAAACCAACATTTAGTGATCCTTTCTGTCCTCATCATTTGAGCTGATGTGGGAATGACCTCCAGTCACTGACACATGCATATGTCTCAGTCAGCCAATGAGTTGACTGAGACATACAGAGTATATCAACTATTCATGGTAATTCCTAACATCAAATCTGATGATTAAGATAGAATAGGTTTCTGAAATGTTGGTTTTTAACTGAAGAGTGACAGGATTGATTGCTCATTCTACACAAACGCTTCAGATAAACAAAAAATTGATATGTGTAAGCTCATGTTGAAGAGATCTGCTGTTATACAATATAATTTCAAACTGTAATTTTCTTTGTAAGAAAATGTGGTTTCAGTACTGGTAGAGGAAAATGAACTGACCATACTTGCATAAGAACACTTTCTGACAGATTTCTCCCTAAACATTCTAATATTGCTTCATGTGTATGTATAAGTATGTCCTTCATGTGTATGTTTAATACTTGTATCTTTTACCGCAGCCTTCTCTGTGTTATCTTCCTCTTCATCATCATCTGTCCCTGGAGGATATGTTGGCAATGTGATGCTTATTCTTCGGCCGTTGTTCCCACCGGAGGAAGAGGAGGTGTCACCACCACCTCCTCCACCTCCTCCCCCACCTCCAAGAAGCCCACCTTGGAGAACCAGACGTCCAATTACCCGGAACAAGACCCTCGTGATACTTTGTATTGTATTATCAATGATCTAGAAGAAATTGGTGGTCCATATTGTTTGTTAGAAAATGACACAATATTTCCACTAATGAGGACGACTGGAAGACAACAGTTGGTTAGAAGACGCAAATCGACCAAACTTGTTACTCAGAACTTCAAGAGATTTGTGATGAATATGAATCAAATTAAAGACCTATTGAATAATTGGAAGAAAATTTTACGTCACAAGATTTCCTAGAGAGAACATAACGATAACAGTATTTAGAGATACGGTACAGTTTGAATCAAAATGAAGCTGGATAAATAATAACTGGTTTATGAGTCTAGGGGTTAAACCTGCATGTAATGCGAATTTAATGCAATTTTTGTAAACAATGAAATTTATCATGCAGCAAAATCACAGCTAATAGTCACGTTTATTGAAACAAGATTCTAAAGCACAGCATAGCATCACATGAACTACTAAAACAGCCATCTTTCGATAAGGGGTGATCAGACGATGAACTGTGATGATGAGATTATTTTCAGCTTACAGCACGAGAAGGTACAGTGCCTTACAACATAAGGGAAGCTGCTTAATAAGACAAATTATAAGAAACTTTGGTAAAAAATAGGATCTCGGTACTCTTGAAGCTGATGCTTCTAATACTGGAAGAATAAACAGAACACACTGAAACATTACATATAATAATTTGGATACAACACCAATCCTCTTTATATAATGATGTTTAATTGTACTTATGTATATTAAAGCAAAGGGAGAACAAGGAAAGACATTAATACAGAGGTCCAGGGTTCATTTCAAATGCCTTTCAGATGGATAGTTGCAGGTAGTTATCCAGTAGGATGTGATGTTTCCACAGCAGTGGTTATCGAGAGTTCAATCTTTTTTTAGAATATAACGCCATATAGTTCAGTGAATGTCAACCAACGTTTTGCATGAATATGCTGACTCCATCTTCAGGGTCGAATAATAAGCCAAGTAAGAAACCAGCAGGAAGCAAGTAACAAGCTCTGCTGCTGAAAGATCGGTCGACTTTTAACAGACTACATGGTGTTACATCCTGGAAAATATAACTCTTATAATCTTGTATATATATATATATATATCAGTGGCGTAGCATGACTA